GCTCAGAGAGGCATTGAACAGCATACGCAGAATTAGGTCAGAGAAAATCTACCAGTTCCAAATCAATCTTTCTATCTCCACGTTGAAAGTTACATCTCCAAAACCTTTCAGCTTTGTAATAAATCTGACTCAAGGTAGAAGTACTGAGTATTTTCCTCACCATGTGGTGGCATCTGAACAGTAACCTAGCTGTGCAGACTCGCAGACGGAGCATGGAGTTGGCTTTTGATAGAGGACAGGATGCTCTGTTATGCAAGTTCCTTACTTCACCCCTCTCTGAGGGAAATATAGCAGCAATACTGACCTTCCACTGCAAAAAGCCTAAAAATTGATGGCCAAAAATCCAGCCGAAGAGTTGATTTATTATCATGGTAATAAGCCTGAGTTGGGGAGTTTGGGCCCAGATTCAGTCTAGTTTTTGTTTCTGTTTATTGGTCCTTAATGGCTCTGTGAAAATTATAGGGAGTAGCACCTCACTGAATGAGCAACAGTTTGTTTAGACTCCTCCCAGGACGTTAGATGCAATGCACTACTCAGTTTTTTTGAATTTTCTTTCGACACACAGGATGTACTGGTGGCCTTAGGGAAAGTTTATACCCATGAAGGATTCTGGCCTAATTTTTTTTTTTTTTTTAAACGACTAAAGAGTGGTGGTGTAGGGTCAAATCATCATTTGAATTTCAGGTTTTTATTGCAATTTCAGCTACCTCACAACATGCGAAGGAGAGAACATTCTCTAGCTCTAGATCTGGGCACAGACGTTATTTCAAGTTACCTGGGATTAGCCAAATGTAAAACAACAGCCTAGGTTTATGCTTTGTGGGCCAGTGTCTGCTTTTTTCTGCATGCTCAGTAAGCTTTTTGTATTTTATCTTAAATGCAATGCAAGCTTTAGAAGAGTATATTTCTGTTTTTCTAGTGAGTACTGTTGAAATGACTAATTGGTACAGGGATTGACCTCTTAGTTTAATAAAGCAACCTCAAATGACTGTAGAATGGAACCAATTGTTTTAGAAGTGTAATAATGGGGGACAGGGTTTTTACGACTCTCCATGACCTTTAAGAGGAAGCTCAAAAAATAGCTGGACAAAGCAAATACAGAAGGATTCCTAGGAAAAAACTGTGTACAGTGGATGTCCTATGAGATGGATTTTTTAAAACTCAGTCGATATTCTCATGTCCACTACATATGAAACATCCCAGCAGGGGCGGATAGGGGCTAGCCACTTAAAAAGAAAATGCGTTTACTGGTTGCTGAAGGCTAAGAATGGAAACTTCAGTTTAACTAAAGTAAATATACAATAGACAATGCCCAAATCAATATGGTTTGACTTTGTTTTGGAGAAGAAATGATGGATTAAACTTCCTTTGCTTAAACCATCCTCAAGCCATCTAATACTGTCAGGGAGTGTGCAGATTATTACCAGTCACAATTAAGATTTTAGCACCCAGCACAGTAGGAAATAGAGTCAAATAGACAAACAATCCTTATTCAGCACTAACCCCCCCACTGGGTTAGTTTGTGGATAGTCACAAATGGGGGTAGTCAGAACTGACATTTAAAGCAGGACGCAAAAGGCTAGCAAACAGCAAGACGTGCAGAAATCTTTCGCGCCCAGTAGCTCCAACAGTGCACACCAAATCTGAACGGTTTTTTTAGGCATCCAGACTGCAGCTATCACTAAAAGCTGAAGAGTTACAAATGCCTGAACTGGCTCAGCAAAGAATACCTTGACATGTTCTGCCTGAAGTCTTGTGGTCACAGCAGGGTGCTGCTTTTTTGACAAGGGCCCCTGTATCTAGGGAAGGCAAGCCACCACCCCTGATCCTACAAGTTGCCTACCAACATTTTCTGATGGCCAGGAGCCACAAGACACATACTACCTACCTCAGAAAGTCTGCTGCCCTCCACAAACATAGGCCCAGACCAGGAACTGCATGTAGCTCACCCAAAATCTATGGTAATAAATAACACAGAACACTAATGCTCCTAGCAAGTGATGAAATCATTGAATTTATAGCCCTTCACATCAAGGGCTGGCAACAGACAAACGTCCCTCATCTATCAGAACTTTTCTTGTGTGAAAAGTCTGAGTGAACGTGTCACTGAATCCCTGGACTCTAGAGCTGCTTCCCTTCTAACACTGCTGAGTATGTAGATGGCATTTAAAGGTGCCTGCGGGTGAGACTCCACTGTCCCCAAAGCCAGGCCAACAGAAAGAATATCCTCACTGTGCTGCAATGCACTGGGCTCAGCCCTGACAGAGGGAGGCCAAGAATCACAGTCTGTTCCTCCCCAGAAGTGCAGCAGCAACTGCTGACATTTACAACTGCCCGAGAGGCACTGGAGATTCAGTAACAGGGCTCTCAAGTCCTTAGACACCAGAGTAAGCATGTGGTACCTGGAGGGCTTCAGAGAACAAGCCAAAGGGAAAGCACAGCCCTATGGCCGCATGATGGTGGCATGGGAACATCATCCAGCCTTTATCTTGCATCAGCCATCTCAGCACAAACTCTCTGGCTCCCAAGGGCTGTTAGCACAAAGTAAAGCCACAGCCCAGGTTTGGGCTCAGCGCAAGTATTCACTGCTTAGAGCTCCCATTACTGCACCTCTGAAATCGTACACGCTTTGTGCAAGAGGCCCATCTCTCGCACACATGTCCTGCTCTGGAAGATCTGGAGAGTCACGATGCCTGGCACAGTGGAGTGTTTCTCAGCCCCTTGTGTCAGATACAGCTAACCATCCTGGCAACAAACCGCGCACAGCACGTGGGCTCCCAAAACCAGGAGGAGTCCGGGCTCAGCAGCATAACCCCGAGGTGCATGCCGCTCCTGGGCTGCGGCACCGTACTCCAGGCTAACCCGCAAATGTGATCTTACATGGCACTCATAGGGCTGCTGAGGTGCTGGAGAGCATCTCAATCATGGCCAGAACATGAAGCCACATGAAGCAATAAGGAAAAGGCTAAGAGCTCTGCCCCCATCATCCTATCAACCCCTCTCCCAAACACCCCCGGTGAACACAAGGCATGAGACAAGGCAGCACAGAGAGTAGGAATCAGCACCAGAGATGTTCGGGTGAAATTCTGGCTGCCCGGAAGCTAAGAGAATTTTTGCCATTGGCTGCTGTTACGCTGTCTGCCACCGATTTCCTCTCAGTTTGGAAAAAAAAAAGCTGGAAGTCAGAAGGCCCATAGTATCTATACACCACCATTCAGAGCTCATGGGGCTCAAATAAGACTTAGTGGAGAGCTAGCTACTCTAGAATAAACTCACTTGTACTTCCTTTCAGAGTCCCATCCATTTTGCAATAGGTGTAAGCTCCATTCAACTCTTACTAACATCAAGTGAAGTTAACACAAGCTCAGGCACCATGCAAGTTGTACTTGAGCCTGACAGAAACAATAAGAAGATCCATAAACCTTGTGTTTGTTTTTGATACAGAGATGAATTTTACTCATGGCAAAGATTTCAAGCTGTATGATGGCCAGCTGGACACTTATTGCCACAAGTAAACAAAAGTAAAGAAAACAAAGCAAAAATGGTTCCCATGTTGCAAAAACAGTAATAGCCACCCAGTGTAGAAACCACTAAATGCTATTGTGGAGAGTCACTGGAAGAACAATTCAGTGTGGTTCTGCCTTCCCTTCGCTCACCTTAAATACTACGAAGAATCAAGCAAGGAGTAATGGTTTTGGACTGTAATCTACCCAACCTTCAAACATATTACCAAAAGAAAAAAGGAAGGGGGGTCAGGAGGGAAGAAAACCAGCGTTAACTTCTCTGCATTATCACCGCAGACAGAGAAGATCTCAGTTCCCAGGACTGGGAGATGCTCCAAGCTCGGAAAGCTGTTTAGTCTACGCAAAGGAATATACTTAAAACATTTAGACCACAAACAGGAATATACCTGAACATTTTTGAGTTGGATTTCCTGAGGCAGTAGCCCTTCTTCCCTTTATCTTCTCCATAGAGAAAAGCATAGCAAAACTACACAAGTTATCAATTGAACCATGAAAAAAAATTCCAGGATAACGCAAGGATTACAGCAGATACTACGAAGTGAAACAGCACTGCAGTCATACAATTGCGAAGAGACCAAGGAGACAAGGAATTAGTAGTGATGGGATGTAGGTGAGCAGCCAGGGTGGTGTTAATCCTTGAGCAACTGCCCACCTGAAACCCCGAGCATCGCCCTGGAAGGGGCTTAAACAGCCTAGAAGTTCCAAGCTAGGAGGGTAGTTCTTTCTCAGCTCTTTATGCTGTCAGTGATGGGAGAGGAACTCTTCCTGTAGGTGATGTAATGCAGCAGCAGAGGTCCTTGGAGGACCCTCTCTCCCCACCAGACTGCAGAGGGAGCCTGGGGAGCATTAGGCATGTGCAATAGTCTCTGCAGCCTCCAGGCTCTTCTGTACTGATAAAATTCATCGTATCTGTAGCCAGGTATCTACACCACTGACACCTTCAATGCCCTCAGGTTTTAAGAAACCCAGCCAACCAAAACACAACAAGACCCAGACACACAACTGAATACTGTAACAGAAGAGAGGCTGGTGGAGGAAAGCTTGAAAATCCCTAAAGGCTTCAAACAAATAGAACCCCATATTTACTGTTTGTTTCAGTTTGTTTGTTTTTTTAAAGTATCTCATATTATTTTAGCCAAAACACATGATTCTTAAGAAGGCTGACTCAGGGCCTTTAATGCTTGGGACTAGCAACACTCTACGTGCACAAATGCTTTTCAGAGGTTTCTGATCACCTGCAACTCACACTGGTAGCTAGCACTTATAAACAGCAAGCCTGTAATTTCATATGCAGTTGCTATTTTACTTCCTACTTTCTGTTCTGACCTTGATATTTTTGTGGTTACAGATAGATGCAGCAAACAGAAAAAAACTTCACTTTGCTCCCATGCAAAGCTGTTTCATCTTAGAAAAGGTGGTAAATGTTTATGCCTGGTGGCAAATGCACTACCCATAATTTCAAGTTAGAAGTATTACCTGTGGCAAACCAGATTCTGCAGCAGCACAGGGACACGTTCCTTGGAGAAACCAGTAAGAATTTTCTTAAAGTCAAGCTTTGACTTCAGGAGGGATGATACCAGATTTTACAGGCTGGTAAGCGGTCACCTTGTTGCTATTCACAGCAATAGAAGCTTGTTCATTTGTCGTTCACTGTAGTCAAAAAAGGAAAAGGGAGGGAAAAAAAAACCAGCAAAAATCAGCTCTCTAGAAAGAAAGCTGCAATATATAGGTTACAGTTTCCTTCTGAAACAAACCCTCTCACAGTATGATTTCATAGGCCATGCTAATTATTTTTAGGGCAAGCATAATAAAACCCAGGTGATTTGCCTTCAGCAATTTCTCCTTATCTTCACACAGCTCTGGATCATTTACCCACATGGCAAGCAATTACAATGAGCCCTGCAGTTCTTAACAGACATCTTTTGTCGAAACCCGGCAAGAGTACACAAAGGTTAATATGCTTTTGCACTACAAAAATCTGGGCATTGTCTTGTGTATTGTAAGACGTGCTTGTGACATGCTGAATTCAGCTGATTTACAAGATCAGCAAAACAGAAGGTTTTCCCACTGGGAGCCTTTTTCTAACTATTTCCTCATCAGGATGTTGGCTTGCGAGAGTCTCTGATTTGCCATGCTTCTGCTAGGAACGCAGACCAGCGTTTCTAGCCAGGCATACATCTCTCTCCCTCGTCCTCTCTCTCACACATGCAGACAAACACGCTCCTTAGTGCTCCGCGCTGGATTCCAGCCAGGCTGCCATTTGCCTTGCCTCATTTGGAGAGTTAAATTCCTAATTCAGCGGTGACGATAACACACAAAAACAAAATCTCCCCACACCGCTGCTCTTCATTTCTCACTTCCTATACATAATGAGAGACATTCATTCCAGCCTGTTTGGGATACGCTGGGGCTGACAATCTCACTGCACTGCTGAGAACCACCCCCGGCTTCGGAGGGTATGACGCACACAAGATGAGCGGGTAAGGACGTATCAGGCTTGCCTGACTGCTCTGAACTTGAGAGGGGCCTTGCCCAGGCTGGGACATCTAAAATCCCTGACATATTGCTGTACGGGAAGAGGAGGTTGTAACAAGAGGGTCTCGAGGCCTGCGAAGCTCGGAAGGCAACCCGATTGACTGCTCTCCCCCTTTTGCTCTTTCCTTTGTTCCAAAATACACAGTGCATGTTCCAAGGCTCATCTTATCTCCCAGTCGATAATGGATAGTGAAAGGTGAGTGGGACACCCTGGGAGGGGGGAACATGGGAAGAGGAGGGGAGAAGCTCATTTATTATGCAATGTAGGGCTCTTGTGGCTGCTTTTATTAAATTGCATGCCTGTCTGTGGGGTATTAATTGTGATGTACGTCTAGGCTACCTCTGAGGCGCCTAAAGAGCAGAGACAGAAGATCTTTGCACAGCATTTATTTATATCAAAATAAATATCTATATTGATGAAGTATTGGCCGTCAGGTTACCAATGGAAAATCACTCTTGATGCAATAAAACTCTGCAGCCTGCTCGGCTCTGCTAACAGTAACCTTACCCCAGCATTTAATTAGAATTTCCAGACTGAGAAAACCAAGAGAAAAATCCACTGGCACCATAGGATCCTGCACCACAGGGAGGGTACTTGGTCCCAACACGTTCCTGAACAAGCCATTTACAGGACGAGAAGCCTATTGCGCGGCGTAAAAAAATAATTAAAAAAGCCTTCAGAAGGGCTGGCAGCATAAAAATTTCTGGCTCTGTCGTCTCTGTTTCTGCAAGCAGCAAAAGATCCATAATTCTCACACTTAATGTAATTCCAAGGCATCTAAAGTGATTTACAGTCAGTTTACTCAATACTTTCAGCTTTATTTAATGTAACAGTTATGGCACATAAAAAGTTTATTGAAAATCCTTTGGGAGTATGATTGAGTAAGAAACAGTCATTGCTAATACCATTACAAGAGCTGAAGAGAAGGATCCCAGCATGTTCTCTCAGTGACCTTTATGGCTCTCCGGTCCTGGGTTACACCAGGAAATCCTCCCTCCACCTCGCAGGAGAGCGGTGCCACTCTGACAGGGAAACTCGCCCTTGCCTCCTTCCCTCGGGGAGAGCCAACAGCTTGGGAGGCGTTTAGACGCTACACAGAGCTTTGGGTATGGTGTGCCTCGCCAGCAAGTTGGGGAAGAAAAAAGAAGTTCTGGGAAGTTGTGGAAGGGAGGGATTTCCCTCCTGCCAAACTTACTCATTTATATAGTTATTTATTTTCATATTTGCCATTTGCAAGCAGAGCTGAAGCTCTCCTCTAAAGGGCAGAGAGCTGTTTTGGGTGGGTCAGGAATGAGAAAAGGGTTGCAATAGAGTGAAATAGGATGGATCCTTCCCAGCTCAGCTCCCTGTGAGGCCATTAACTCTTTCAGCATCACCAACCTGTTGAGCTTTTTCCCCAAATGTGAAATTGCAAAAGCTGTTAATTTGCCTTAGCAATTAACAAACATTACTTTTATTATCATTATAGCAATAACTATAATTTAATAATAGCCAGCACTACAAGTGATAACTTCCACAGCGGTGAGCATATCTCAGCACCAATTTTTGTCGAATACTCTTGCAGTGTTGGCAGCCCAACAAGGTTGCTTGAAAGAGAAGATTCACATTTATCTCAAAAGGCTTGGAGACAAGCCGAATAATTATTACTGCCTCTCTGGTAGCATCTAGAAGCTCCCATCACAGACCAAACCCACACTGTCCATACTGCATAAATATAAAATACCACAGTTCTTCCTGCGGGCACTGGAGCGAGCACTCACTTTCTACATCCCTGACATCCCTTGTGCCAGGGCTGAACATAGGCTTCAGAGGAAGACTTTACCATGGGTAGCGCCTAGCTCCATGGGCAGTCTCAGATGCCTAAGAAGGGATGGGCAGAAAGCGTAACCTTTCCTTCCACTGGGAATTTTCCAAGATCCTTTTTCCTTTTCAAACCTATTTTCACATTCAGTCACGCATAGTTTGCAAGCAACCCTTTTTTTCCAGGAATCAGAGGGGAAAGGTGCGTCACGTGGAGATGGGAAGTGCAAGCAAAATCAGTACAAAATTATAAAATAAAAGTACTCTGAATAAATTGGAATAAATAGACAGTGGAAGAAAAACATGTTCCACATGTGCGTGTTCCATAAACAGAAAAAAGGTTAACATTTTTTAGATAAGGCAACTGTGATGGATTGTTTAGCTGTATTTGTCAATCAAATATTAAGACTTGCAGAATTAAAATCAGAGCAGTTCAGAGATGGATTCCAAATTCTCCAAAACATCAGGTTTGGCATTTAGATAGCTCTCAAGCTATCATCTCTAGACAGACAGACAGATAGATGGATGGATGATTTGGAGAAAAAGATGGAGACATTCTTTCAAGACTTCTTTTTTTCCAAAAGATGATTTGCTTGTGCCAAGAATTCAGCCTGGGGAAAAGTCCAAATGTAGCATTTCCTCCAGCTTAAACTGGGGCTTGGCCCAAGCCAAACTTTGGCTCCGAAGACCTGCTCTCAGCAGGGACACGGGGAGCAGGATCCGGTGCCTCCAGCCCACCCGTTCTAGCAGCATGGAGATGTACATTGTCAGAGGGACGGACACCTGCCTTTGCCCCCTAAAACACCATTTACAGGTGCCCAAATGTTAATGCCGAACAGATGGGTGGGAGAAAAGCAGCATTTCATGCTGGAACTGGCAGAGCGGACTCCAACAAGTCCACTATTGTTACACAGAAATTCCTAGAAACAGATGCAGCAAATTCAGCGCTTCGAAGCCAGTTCTGGGCTTTGGGGTCTGCCGGGAGATGACTGTGTAGCTTATGGATTAATGCACTATTATTACATTACTCTTTAAGCTTCAAAGGTCTGCCAGGAAACCTGAGCCCACTATCTATTGAATGACATTTTAAGAACAAATAATGCATTAATATATTTAATTTGAGAATAAACACATACATTATAGGAAGGGATTTTGTCTATGCTGATAAGTCAGCGCCTGACCTTTCCGCTGCAATCCCCGGGCGCGGAGCCGTAGAGGACCTCTTCCGGGAGCCTCTCCCGACCGGCCGGAGGCGGGAGCCTGAGCGCTGCTCCTGCCGGCTCGCCACCGCACGGCGCGGCCGAGCCGCGCG